ACAGAGACAGAGACAGACAGAGACAGACAGAGACAGACAGAGACAGACAGACAGACAGAGAGAGAGAGAGAGCGAGAGAGACAGAAAGAAAGAAAGAAAGAAAGAAAGAAAGAAAGAAACAAAGAAAGAAAGACAGACAGACAGACAGACAGAAAGAAAGACAGAAAGAAAGAAAGACAGACAGACAGAGAGAGAGAGAGAGAGAGAGAGAAGGAAAGAGAGCTGGCTCAAGCTCTTGGCTCAAGCTGGCTCAAGGGCACTGACGAGATCAAGGGCATTGGTCTACTTGCTTGAAGGCGCCTTTGGCACATCCTACCAGTTCGGTGGCCTTGCCCTTGCTCGTAATTGAGATTGAAGTGAACCTCACCGAGTTTGTTCCTTGGATTGATGGGGGGCTATTTCCAGGACTTTGAGAAGGTGAGAACGAGGAGGCGCTATGTGGCATGTACGGGCTGCAGCTCATCCTGGATCTGGGCAGATCGCATCAATGCCCAGAGATGGGGATGTACCAAATGTGGCACTCCATGGCCTGGTGCTGACAGTGACTGGAAGAGTACCTCCCCCGTTAAGAAGGTGCGGAGGACGTGTGCGGCCTCAGGTGGATCCACCGCCAGGCCTTAGAGCAAAGACCAAGCAAGTACCCAATGCCATCGAATCCACCCTGAAGAAGGCATGGGGGACAATGCCGCCGGAAGCATGGGTATTGACTTCACCCCAGAACCTGAGTGCCCGCCCCTGGAGGAGATCTTGAAGGCCCATCTTGATTCACTTCCCAAGGAAGTGAAGGAGGCTGTGGTTGGACTCATTAAGCCAGCTCCCTCAGCCACCATTGATGTCACGGGGCAGCTCAAAGCCACGGTGGGTGAGTTGCGACAGTTGGCAACCAAGAAGCAATCTTTGCAGTGGAAAGTGGATATGGCCAAGGACCACTACAAGTTGCTACTTGAGGAACTCAAAGGGGTGCAAGAAGCCATTGACAAGGAGCACAAGCAGTTGGGTGATCAGTCCGAGGCATATGCAAAGCAGCTGAAGGAGGAAGCTGTGCCCTTTTCACCGCCCAATGAACATGTCCTGGATACAGATGCCACGGAGCATGTTTTGAAGGCTTTGGGACAGGCTGGTATCCTTTTCAATCTGACCAGCAAAAGGAATTGGAGGCTGAAACCCTGGCCAAGCGCCGCAAGACTGATGGTGAAGCCCAGTTGAGTGGGTAACATCAGACGGACTCCTTGTGTTGGAAAAGAAGATGCAAATGAGGTTTTTCCTGCAGTGATGGGGTCCTGGAGGAATGAGAATAGCATGGCAGGGCTTGGCACCGCAAGCCCAGGGGATTACTCAAAGGTTTGGGACTGTTTGAGTTTTTGGCATCAGGGAGCACCATCTCACACAGCTTGGGGAATGCCGGGTGCAGATGTGAGTGCAGAGTCTTGGACAGGAGTTGATTGCAACGTTGTGGATGAATTTGTGCAATTTTGTCATCAAGGAATGCAGCCGTATGTGAACGTCGAGGGGTACCATGACACACCATTTATGTCAGCGCATGAATCAGGCACTTTTGGCATTGACTTGGGTGTTGATGTTGGTCTTTCATCAGCTGTAGAGCCTCGGGTGATGTCGACTCCGGGGGCTCATTTGGCCCGTAAGAAGCAGCATGGCTCAGCAGTCAAGAGCATGGGTGCAGAAGATGTTGACGATGCAGCCCGGTCTGTATCTGCCGTTCTTGAGGACAAGCGCGCAGAAGATGTTGACAGTGCGGCCCGGTCGGGGCAAAATTTCCAACGTCGCGGGGGCTCAGAAACCCTTGACGATTCATCTTCCTCTGCAATATCAGCAGAGCAGTGTGTCTGGACAGAAGGTGATGGACATGGACCGATGGACAGTGTGAGTACTAAGCCTGTCAGTGCTGCCACCTCCAATGCAAAGCCAATAAAGGCTACAACAGTGCGGAGTGACAAGGATGACACAGCCGAAGCTTGTGGACTGGGCTTGGACGTGACAGAGGCACTGCCTTTGAGGAGATCAGAGCGCCTAAGGAAACTCAGACCTGCTTCCAGCGGGACCTCTGATCACGTGCGCATGGCCCCAACTCGCAAGCCTGACCTGCAACATGGTGGGCCCCAGCTTGCTCTCTTGGGTGGGGGCAAGGATGACCAAGATGATTACTATATCCTTGAGGATGATGAGAAGGAAGTGGGAATGACAACGCCAGGATTGCTTCAAGACAGGCTGATCACCCTGCAAGCCAGGGCTCTTCAGGCCATTCGCGCCTTGCCAATCCAATGTCGAGATAACAGTGAGTATGGAATGGTTGAAACAAGAGTGTGGGGACTAGAAGCCTTGAAGCACATCCTACGAATGCGGTTAGCGTTGCAAGGCAGTATACAATTGACCAGACCGGTCGCTCAAGACTTGGACATGCCACCGGCAAATGAATTGCTTGCGGCCAATCTCACGCTCAATATCAGAAACAAGGGCAACCGCTGTTATGCCAATACCGTTATTAGAATGTGGTGCTGGATGGGCGCGCATCATGACAAACCTGCTGCATTTTGGGGGCCTTCAACCAAGCTGTGCCTACAAATTTTGCAACAGGATGACATTCCGAACATCTTCTGGGCATCGGAACTACAACCGGTCATTGCTAGACTGGAAAATCCTCAAGGCCAGCATGATGCCTCTGAATTTCTGGTGCTGCTGTGGGAGTTGTGGGGACAGACAGGTTTGCAAGGTACCTGGCATTCTCATTTTGGAGGCAGGATCCATGATTTTGACACCCAGCCATTGTTCATTCGCACGCCTGAAACAGATGGGGATGGTGTCAGTTTTGAGCATTTGCTGAGCGAGTGGGCCAATGAAGCAAATGGTCAATGCTTGGGAGCGGA